ATTAGGGAATGCTAAGCCATTATTTCAATGACTTGTAAAAATAATAAAGCAGAATAATGTGAGTTGTCATAAACCCTGCTTGAGGACTCTTTGCCTACAATAACACATCACTGAACTTAGCTGACCCAAAGTTTTACCTGTTTTGAAGACTTTCCAGTTTTGAATCTGGGATGCTAGTACACTGAACCTCGATGTCGTATCCACAGGACTGAACAAACTCTGCTGATACACTTCCTTCTGCAATGGCGTTGACACCAGTGTTAGCCTTCAGTTTCCGGGATTCAGTGTGTTTTAGGGGGATGGGAACAGACACTTCAGGCTCTGAAGAGGAAAGGAGACAGAAGTTTAGCCAAGAATTCACTGTGGAAAAGCTGCTCTGGAGAATGGGAAATGCAAGGCCAGTTTCCCTCCTCAATTAAACCTTAGTCAAGAAGCTACCTAATAATTATATGTATAATATACAATAATAATTAATATCTGAAATATATTTTACTACAGAGGGCAAATTCCAGAGTGAATGCAAGCACAGTCTTAATCCTAAAAGAGAAAAGCATCATTTATGTAGTGTCTAATGGAGTCCCCTGACATCATCTTTCCAAGTACAGATTAAGCCCTGGGGCCGCTCACTGAAAAAAAAAAATACCTGGGACTTGCAGACAGACTGACGTCAGTCTGGATCCTAGTTTTAGAAGTTTCAACTGTGTGACTTTGAACAAGTTGTTTTAGGAACCTCAATTACTTCTTTTGTAACACGGGTATCATATCTCCAAGAGGCTCTTGGAAGCATTATATGACCAAATGCAAGCAAAGGTCCAGAAAATGAGTGGATTTCTAAAGGACCTTCCTTGTCCTTTGCCTTTAAGCAGGATGGCTCATTAGCTACCTTGTCTGGGTGCCTCATGGATTCTAGGAAGCTGCACCACTGAAAATGCTGACTTTTACACTTCTCTGCCCCTTAACTGACTGTACCTGGGACTGGACAATTTGGCTCTAAGATCTGCAAGGAGGGAATATCCAACTGGAGTATCTTCAGATTTCCTAAACAGTGAATGATAAGTCTTCTGCAGTATATCAAACTGAAAGAACTTCTTTGTATCTGTCAGGTATTTGATGGATCTCAGACCTTTTCCTTGAAGCTTTTTGACCACACCCTTGCAAACCAAAATGTCAAATGCAAAGTCAAATGAGTGGGCCATGTAGCTAGAGTTTTCCTGCCTGGCCTACGGTCAGGACATATCTCTCTCACCTCCAGTCCCACAGCCACTCAGATCCAACCAAGTAAACACACAGAGACTAATATTGCTTACAAACTGTATGGCCATGGCAGGTTTCTTGCTAACTGTTCTTATATCTTAAATCAACCCATTTCTATTAATCTATAAGTTGCCACATAGCTCATGGCTTACCAGTATCTTAACATGTTGCTTCTCATCACAGCTGCTGGCAGCATCTCTCTGCCTCAGCCTTCCACTTCCCAGAATTCTCCTCTCTCCTTGTCCTGCCTATACTTCCTACCTGGCTACTGGCCAATTAGTGTTTTATTTATTAACCAATCAGAGCAACACATTTAACATACAGAACATCCCACAGCACTCCCCCTTTTCTTTTTTTCAAAAGGAAGGTTTTAACTTTCACATAGTAAAATTACAAATAGCAAAACAATTATCAAGCAAGAATTACAGTTACAATATCTAGTCCATTTATAATAACTAGTCTATTTGTATTTGGCAAAATTAAAGAAGATATCCTATCTATCCTATATTTGTGAGTTTAAGGTTTCATATCTAACTATCTTTTATCATAACTAAGGAAAATTATAACTATCTAGTCTTCAACTACATCAAAGACCTCAGAAGGATATACTATTACCTGAAAAACGGGAAAAGGATGCAAGCAACTTTCGGGAATCTTGCAAGAGTAGACAGAGACAGCTGGCAGCCTGGACATTCATCCAAAGTTTCTTTGTAAAGTTGGGGCATCTGTCTTCAGCCCACCAGCCTAGAGTCTCTCAGTCACTTTTCTCAGTGTCCTGTAAAATGTCTGGCAGTTTCCTCTGCGAAGCAGGAACCTGAAGGACCATATTGCCAAGCAAAGTTTGGTGGTCACCTTCCTATGGGTCCTTCATGTCCAGTTGATCAAGCAGTCCAGGCAAGAACAGTTTCTTGTCCAAATGGCTATTTTTGCCAAGAAGAAGATAAACTCCATATGGAGTGTTTTCGATGCCCATCCTCCTCTCTAAAGTAAATCTGGTGCTGCCAGGAGTAGACGTGTCTCACCGTCTAGAAAGTCTAAATTTTTAAAACATTTTAAATGCCATATTCTGTAGGTCTTTGAAGTATCTAAAGATTACCTATCTATCTGAAATATATCTATATATACCTAGAAAACTAAACTAACATGACTATAAGTTTGATTATCATAGACTACTAATTATTAATCTGTATTTCTTAATTATCCATTACAATCTAAATGAGTTACATAAACATAATACCTCAAATGAGAAATAGAAAGATGTATACAATATAACAAAATTAAGTTTAAATTTGTATCAATAGACTAAAATCCATAGCAATATAAAACATTTTAAACAAGTTGCTCTTTAAAAGTAGATTCAATAATCTACTCCTTTATCTCATCATTATCTATACTGTCCTATTTTGTTCTTTAGGAAGAGATTGTATTTATAATAAACTTGTTTTAAATAAAAATATTGGTTTTTCTCTGTCCCACACCAGAGGGCTCTTCTGATACGGGACAAAAGAATTTTTAACCTTTTTTTTAAACAATATGTTTGGGTTTAGAGAAGGAGTGAGCCAATTCCATCTCCAAAGCCAGCTTGGTATATTTGGGAATTTGGGCATAGCTTCTCTCACTACTTCCTGCTGGAGGGGGCGCTGTATCTTATGGGGACACAAAGAAAATTTTAGAATTATGAAGTAGATAGTTTTTAAAAATAAAGTCTTTAAAGAGACAGTAAAGGCAGTTTAAAAAATAAGCCACATAAAGATGGACATTACCATTACACAGAGAATCTGGATTGTGTTGTCTTTGATATTTTTAACTGCAGAAAAACATTTGATCATAAAAAGCTGCTGAGTTAAAACAAATGTGTATATTTTAAAGGTACTTTGATTTCAAAATTTGGATGTAAGGATATGTTGCTTTGGAAAAGAGGCTCTGCTTTTGTTTCTACAGAAAGCCAGAGGCTATGGATTTGTTCCAGATTAAGATACATCAGGTTTGACCATGCATGTACACCTATGTCTTCTTCTGACCTCCTCAGGCACCAGGCACACAAGTAGTGTACAGGCAAAACATTCATACCCATAAAAATATGTAATTTTTTAGAAGATGAATGGAGGAAGAAAATGAGGTGTACAAGCATGATTAAGTTTTATTCAGCCAGAAACTGTGAAATTACATGATATACTGAATGGTACTCAAGACCATCGTGCCAAATGAAATAGACTAAACACAGAGATACAGATATTCCATGCTTCTCTCATACACACATACTGCATTTTATGTATATAAGTATACATAAATATATATAGTTATATACACATATATGTATGTGCATATATATACACATAAAGTGTGTATGTATAAAATATTATATGACAAAGGCAAAATTTCAGGGAGGGAGGGACTGTGGAGATGGATCAGGAGAACTAGAAAACATAATGGGGTAAACATGTGCAAAACATATACTGTGTGAGGTCACCACAATGAAACCTATTATTTCATGCTAATTTAAAATAACAATAAATACCAAAAGAAGTAAGTATGCTATGACTTGGAGAATGCAATCAGTTCCTTGCCTAATGGATTATAATTCTTCCCTGGTATGAATAAGGACCTGCGTTCAAGACCCTGTGTTACCAAAAACATTTAAAAATAACCAATAAGACAATGAAAACATATGCCACCACTTACCATAAAAATGTTAACCAAAATCACAATTAGATATTATATTTGTCAGGATGCTATTATCAATAAGTATAAAGGCAATAACTGTCAGTAATAATGTTTTAAAAACGGAACCTTTTATACTATGGGAATGTAACAAAATAAGATTTGTCAAAAACTTAATAGAATTGAAAACAGGGTGTAATCCCAGCACTCAAGAGGCAGAGACAGGTAGATCTTTATGAGTTCAAGGCCAGCCTGGTCTACAGCACAAGTTCCAGGACAGTCAGGGATATACAGAGAAACCCTGTATCGAAAAATAAAATAGAATTGAAAACAATGAAATAGCACAGGCATGTTCATTGCAGTGCTAGTCACAAAGACCAAAATGTAGAAACACTCTAACTGTCCATCAACAGGATAAGGAAAATGTGACATCGTACTGTGAACTATTATCAGCCTTTAAAAGGAAGAAAGTTTAAAAATGCAACAATTTGATGACTCTTAAGGATGCTGAAGTATATGTCATTCAAGTGTAAACACCTACAAATCTATTTATATGAATTATCTCAAATTCTCTAAGACTCAGAGTGCAAGGATGCCCTCTACTGTAGGAGAAAGGAAGGGAACATGACTAGTCAAACAGTTTAATGTTTCTTTTGCACAGGATGAAAGACACTGTAGGTGTGCTAGCAAGGTTTGGACCAATACATTTTTGTAGATTTTAAAACCTGTTGAAGGCAGAGCTCATGTTATGTATTTTACCACAATATATTAACTGCTATAGAAGATATTGTCCATGCATACAGTCATAACTCTACATAGCTGGGAATTTCTAGGATGATAATCAGAATCTGCAGATGTTCAAGTGTCTTTGCATATGACCACACACTCCTCCTGTTGATTTTAATGCTACAGCACTGTGTTATTCATTAAGCAATGCTGTTACTGTACAAGAAAGGCCACGACACAAACAAACAAACAAACAAACAGTGTCAAAGCTTTATTAGGAGAAGGGAGGGACACAAGAGAGGGTGACCAGACCTGTGGAAGGCATGTGCACAGAGAGAAAGTGGGGAGGAGAAGAGAAGAGAGGGGAGGAGTCTGTGACCCGATTCTTATGGATTCCCCTGCACATACACATATGGGCTTACGGAGCTATGCCACGTATGCACATAGATTGCATGATCACACTGCGCACAAATTACTTGATCACACAGTGCACGGAAGTAAGGCCCCTTGCTTGGCTACTGAACTGTGCATGTGCGATCATATAGCTGAGGGAGTGGCCAGGAAGTCCTCTCACATCATTTAAATAATTTCTAGAACACTTAAAATGATATTGTATCAGTAAGAGTTTAAAGCTGCTGTGAAAAAATACCTGACTTCTTAATGGAGAAGAGATTTATTTTGACACAGGGTTCCAGAAGGCTCAGTCCACAGTTGCTTTAGCCTCATCATTTTGACTGAGCATCATGGTGACAGGAAAACATGGAGGAGGAGATCTTGGTTGATTTCTAGGCAAGCAAGAAGCAGAGAGCCATACAAGGAAGGGACTTGTAGTCCCAAGTTCATGCCCCTAGTTTCATATTTCCTCTAGCTATGCCCCTCATCTTAGAGTTCCCCCAGGAATCGCAGGATAGTGACAGTAGCAGGAACCCACACATTCAACATAACCTGAGGGCAGGGGACATTTCACATTCAAAACATAGCAATAGACAAACCACATATATAGTTATTGCAGAATACCAGCCCATGCAAAACAGAGTCTGAACATGTTCTATTCCGATGCAAGGCTTCTGAATATTTTCTTTTTAAAATAGTTTCCATTTTTATTTAATGTGTATGTGCCACATATTGGTGCCCATAGAGGCCAGAAGAGGGCAGCAGATCCTCTAGAACTTGAGTTACAGGTTACTGTGAGCCATCCATTGTGGATGCTGGGAACTCAACTGAGGTCCTTTATCTCCTAAATATTTTCATTTTGACATATGTACATGTATCCATGTGGCATATGTGCACACATGTATAAGTGCATGCTTTGGTGTGTTTAGGCCCACACTTGCATGGATGTACACACCCATTTGTGCATATGAAGGCCCATTGTTGTCACTGAGTGACTCTGTCAATCACTCTCCATCTTCTGTATTGAGGCAAAGTCTCTTGTTGACACTGGAGCTCTCCATTTCAGCTGGTCTGACTAACCAGCTTGCCCCAGAGATCTATCTATATCTCCTCCATGCTGAGGTAAGAGGTGGGCACCTTGTCCACTGGGCTTTTGGTGGGTTCTGAGGATTAGAAGTCTGACTTTCACACTACTCAGCAACTGCTGTACTCACTGAGTCATCTACCCTAACCCTTTTCTGAATATGATCAGTCAATGGTCAGTTAATTCCAAAGCTGCAGGATCCATGAATCCATAAGGCCAACTGTACCACAAATGAGCAAAAGAGAACATAATTCAGGCAAAGAGTGGCCTAAGTATATTTGTGACATGGAAAAATTCCTCAGTATAAAAATCCCAACAGCAAAGAGTGTCACTTACATCTGAAGGTGTTCACAGCAAAGTTCGAATAAGAGATATTCAAAGCTGATACTAGGATGATGACTCAAAATTGCTACAGAATTAATAATAATAATAATAATAATAATAATAATAATAATATGTTCTATGTGGATCATGAGAAAGACAGAGGAGTTCAGCATTTCTAAATTGGGCAACATGATGGAGGTGGTGCCATTTCCCTGAGTATCATTTCCAGTGGAGAAAGAAAATAAATTCATACCTCAGCACCTTGATTTTGAGAACCAGGGACAGACTGAAACAGACAATCATACAAACCAGCACTCGACAGTAGAAACTGTCATGGAGATAAAATGTTTGAGACATAGATGTGTAGGTGGAAATCAAAATCTTGGCTGTAGATATTGATGAACTTACATATGTCAATAGGTATTATAGCACTTTGTAGAAAATATTTAATAAGAATAATCTGTTTACATCACTTTCTTTACAGCAAAGAACAGGTTTTCTAATGACAAGGAACAGAATTTTGGATTATATGACTATAATAATATAAGAATTGTCACTGATCATGCACAAGTCCTCATGTGACCATTTTTCAATTACATCTGTAACACCAAACCTGAATAAAGATGTATCAGAGAACAAGCCGTTACCCTTATGTGCTCTCGTGTGCTCCCCACTAACTCTCCTAGGAAGAACTTAAGGAAGTAATGCTTCATTCCCCACAGGTCACATTACATAGTAATAAGCTGGTCAACTCATTTCACAACCAGCCTGAATGACTGGTGACCACACAAGCTTCTCTCCTTACTCACTCCTTCATCCCCATCAGTACTTACAAGGCTGAAGTCAGTTTTCCTCCTCTAGAGAAAGTGCAATTGAATGCAGCTCTTCACAGTCCTTGGACCTTCTGATTCAAGTACAGTCTGTACAAACTCCAGGCCCAAACCAATGTGATTCTCTTCACTGTGTTCCCTTTGTTTTAACAGGTCGGAGTCAATTTTCAATGCAATATTCTTGAGATGTAAGTGCACGCACAACCTCATCTCTCTAGGAACTAAGCTCTGAGCACAGAACTAATGTTCAAACCCACTATCCAAAAGACTATGGATCAGCACAAGAGAACATCTGAGGGTGTACCTGCAAGGCTTTCCTTGCTCAGAGAAGGGAGAATTCTTAGGAAACAGTGTACCTCTCTCTTCCCAAAGAAAACCAGCTGAAAAAGTCTGGTTGCTGAGAAACTCAGGCCCCTGTCAAGACCCCTGCCTTGGCTATTCCACAGCCATGACAGGCTGTGGAAAAGACCAAACAGGATGTAGACCCCTGGCACAGCATGATGTGCCCTTGAGCCCCTGACCTTGGGCCTAGCTCTAGTTACAAGAAAACTCCACTAAGTGCCCCCATATAATAGGAGAAGCCAATTAAAAGTTTCAGCTAGTAGGCTCATGATAAAGAAAAAAAAATGAAGTTACTACTGCAACCGCTGAAAGAGATAATAATGTCCTTGCAGCTGCAAGCTAACCAAGGACAGCACCTCCCTATGAGAGGTACATCAACCCTGAGTCTGTTTCTATGTAGTCCATAGACTCCAACCCCTTCCTTACTATACCCCCTATAAAAACCCTGTCCCATTGCTACTCAGGATCTCTCCTGTTCTGCTGCTGCCTCAGACAGACGGGGAGGCCCAAATTAACTGGCAACAAAAAAGACTCTTTGCTTCTGCATTGGATTTGGTCTCTTGCTGGTCTTTGGAGGACTCTGGATACAACAGTTCCCAATTTTCAGGAAATGAGGTCGGAATTATTCACTCATCTTCTAATGCATGTGCTGGGTGTAACACGTGGCTGCAAGATGGGAAGAGTCTGGATTCACGGGCACTGTGTTAGTTACTTCACTCATTGCTATGACCAAAAGCCTGACACAAAGCAACTCCACAGAGGAAAGGGTCATTTTCCTAAGATCAAGTCCAGAACTTAACATCACAGATGAGTTAAGGACCAAGATATTAATTCCCTAGAGAAAAACAATAGCAAGTGTACATTTTAAAATCTTGAAGCTCACTATAAATCATAAAAAATGATTGAGATTTTAGTTTCATTTTGATTAAGGAAAGTTTTTTTAATATAAATACTTTTAAGTACCACCAGTGATGGAATGATAAGGACTCTACTACAGATACAGATAGAAACATAAATCACCACAATATTTCTAAGTTAGTAGTAGTATTGCCAAAGTCACTCAAAACATTGACATTCTTGAACTTTTAATTCCTCATATACAAATATGCCTTAAGAAAATAATTAAAAAATTAACAAATATTCAGGTATAAATATTCACTAGGGCATCATTCAAAATACTAAAGAACTTGTTAGATCCTGTGGCACCTTTAATCCCAGCACTTGGAAGCAAAGGTAGAGGTGTGAACAATTAATTCTATGACTTTAAGATCAGTGTGGTCTACACAGTGAGTTCCAGACCAGCCAGGGTTACATAGTGACACCCTGTCTAAAATACACACACAACCTCACATACACCCACACACACCCTCACATAAACACACTGAAGAACTGGGGGACCTAAACTGTGAACTCTATGAAGTTAAACTTGCATAAATACTCTACCCTTACAATCCACTTTCTAAAACAACCTAAATCTAAGAAGAAAACAGACATGCAGTAGTAGATGCAATATTGTGGGTTTAATGGGACTCAGTAAAACTCATACCTGCTTCTGTTTAACTATTTCTGAAATCAAACTCACTCTCATACGAAAGGAGAGGGCTTTACTTCACACTTTCATAGAACTTAGTGTCGTGTTGTTGAACCCAGTAAAAATAGGTAAAGACTAAAAGAAAGGGAAATAGAAGACAAGAGGCATCAACAAGACAAAATGGAGGGTACATAAATGGCATGGATGAAGAACCATTGGAGGGACAGGGACTGTGGTAGGGCTGGGCTGCTTCCTCACCATAAAGTAGCCAGATCAGAAGGAACAGCAGTGATTGCAAATGTGACAAAGACCTTGCAATTCTTAGACCACTCTCCAATTCTGTAGCCAAGCAGCTCTCCTTGCCCAACTAGGAAAAGGGTTCCCTGTGAATTTGGTGAGAATTGTTAAAATTCAGATAGCTGGAAAAGGAGGCTAAGTTGTTTCTTTCACAGCTTTTTCTTGCTGGGTTAGGGGAGAATCTTCATTAGGAGATCTTAGAACAGTTTCTGGTATCAGAAATTTTAGAGAAGAAAACTGTCAGCATGTCCTTCGGGTGGTATCCTCAATAAAAGAGTTTAGTGATCCTGCCCCGGACCTCCCATCTGGACAAGAGGAGAGTGCCTGGGCTCAGCCTAGATCCCATACCTGGGTACCAGCCATTCCAGGAAAGACCTGCCCAACTTGGCCCCAGGTTCAAGCCATCTGGCAGGATCCCCTCTACCCCCACCGGGAAGGCTCTCCTTCTCCAAGACCCCCAGCAGACTCTGCAATCTCCATGCCCTGACCCCACGCCCATCCTCCTGAGACCCCAGCCACTTCCTGAGACTTAGAGACCAGCCCCGGCTCCCATCCTGCCCCAGACCTCCCATGTGGACAAGAGCTCCCATCCCGCCCCAGAGTTCCCATCTGGACAAGAGAGAGAGGCTTCCTGAATCTGTCAGCTCTGTCTGGACCAAGTGCTCTGATAAGACCAAGAACAAATCCACAAGGAGA